TTTGGAGATTGATGTGCCTATCATATTCTAACCAGTTTAACATGAAAACAATTTTATCTTTTTTAGGTTACCAACTATCTTCAGGAAATTGCTCCTGATCTTTGCAACCATGTTGAGTTGTATGATAAAAGAATACCTCTTTTTGATCAATACAATATTGAAGAAGAGATCAACAATATCCTCAGTAAAAGGTGAGGACTACATATGGTACTACTTGCGATCTCAATTTTCAATTTTTGTTGCTTAGCAAGCAGGTATAATGTATTTGTTGAACCCTTTATGCCAATTGAGATTAGTTTCTGAAATCAAAGACAGAGAAATTGAGCACTCCTAAGTTATATCATAGCAATAAAATGCTGAGAATGTGGGGCCAAGGAATGCTTGAAAACTGGGCCTTGCTACATTTTCATGTTTCTAAAAGGACCTAAGAGTAGATGATCTGAAAAATCAGAGTGCCTTAGAAGAGCTGCTCAACTGGTCTTAACCCATTTCGATTGTGGTGAATAAGATAATTTAGCTTTGTGATTTTTGCTTTTCTCATGATATAGTGTTGATATATCGTTTCTTTTGTTCATCTTTATAAAAAATTTACATACTTCACCGCCATACTTGTTGATCTATTTTCCAACCACTTCCTTGCAGAGTTGCACTTCCTAATGGTGGTTCTCTGGTGATTGAACAAACTGAGGCGTTAGTCTCTATTGATGTTAATGGGGGCCATGGTATGTTCGGTCATGGGACCTCACAAGAGAAGGCTATTCTAGATGTCAACCTTGCAGCTGCCAGACAAGTATGTTGGTGCTAGTTCTTGTTGTTATGTTTTCTACGCTGCCATATGGTTGGTATATGTTTTTGCCATGCATTAGGTTAATCATCTAGAAGATTGCTTCCCCTGCTTTTCAGTCATCCTGCTGCTGTCTTTCTTCACGTCAAGAGCAGGTTGATATCATAGAGTTGGTGTTGTTTTGTTTCTAAGACATCCCAGGTCTATTCACTCTGGCTGCAGATTGCCAATTCTAGTAGAAACTGAACTCCATTTCTAACTATTAAATCTTAAACACAACACAACCAATCAACTCAGCAGCCAGATAATCAAATAAATTTTGTGTTAAAAATAAACAAGTGAAAAGGCAATCATTTTATGAGAATTTGTGAATTTTCAGATTTAAAGAACAAGGTCCAAAGTTCTTAGTTTCATTATCTGCGAGATAGTTTTTCAAATATAGTTGTTGTCCTCTCCAAGGCTTTGCAAAGATTATCTTTTGATGATACCATAGTAGTTTATTCTACCAAAGCTTTTACTTGTTGCTTAATCTGACATGATTTATTTCAGATTGCAAGGGAGTTACGACTGAGGGACATTGGTGGCATTATCGTGGTAGATTTCATTGATATGGCAGATGAGTGTGCGTATCCATCTCTTTATGTCTTGTAACTGATGGCTTGTAATCTTCTTGATTTCTATTTTTTTATAGCATAAACAATTTGGAGAGAGTAGGCATACTGTTTGTTCCCTCAAGTCTATCAGATGTTTCCATGATACGCTTCAAGTGTGTCAAAATTTGAGAAACATTTGTACGGAAGATCAGATTGCTTTGCTGGTATTGTCAGCCAGAGTTTGTAACTCAAACTTTGGTAGTTAGCTTAAATCATGTTTTGGTGCTTCAAGGTCCTGCTCCAATTAATTGCCCAAGAGCATGCTGATAAAAGGAATTTATCAATGGAAGAGATATTTTGATTTGTTTTATTGTTATGCTATCAGTTCTCTGTAGTACATTGTCGTCATGGCCTTTTTTTATGGAAGGGTTTACTTTCATTCTTCTTTTGAAAAATAAAACTTACACTATACTTACAGAGTGGATGATTCAAGACTCAGATTATCAGGGAAATTTTCTGATTGAGTACTTTCTTCGTGAGTTTATCATTTACATTTAAGAAATTGTGGATTCAAGAGAAGTTCCATGCCTGTCATTCTTGATAAAAATCTGGCCATCTGAAATATGCATTTATTCTTGCCACTATATTTTTCAGCAAATAAGAGATTGGTCTATGAAGAAGTAAAGAAAGCTGTTGAGAGAGACAGGTCAACTGTGAAGGTTTCTGAATTATCTAGGCATGGACTTATGGAAATAACAAGAAAGAGAGTAAGTCACCTTTTGTGATCATTATTTCTCTTTGTTAAGATTAAATGGAAAGGCAGATATGTAAAAAATGTCTTCCAACTATCTGGCATTAGCTAACAAGTTATATGATTTGTAAATAAAGCATGCACTGTATGCATTTACATCAAGTTAATGTCCAAGTATATCCGTTACTGATGTGTACTAATTTCGATTGGAAGTCATATGGAAATAATGATTGCAATGAACATTAATTCATAAGCTTCTGTATTTGTTTCTCTGTAATTTATGTAGTGTGATAGATTAATTCAATTGGTGTTTACTTCTCTATCTTATTATATGTGACAGGTCAGACCCAGTGTAACATTCATGGTTAGCGAACCATGTGATTGCTGTCATGCTACTGGCAGAGTTGAAGCCTTGGAGACAACCTTTTCCAAAATTGAACAAGAAATTTGTCGATTGCTTGTAAGAAATAATTTATGTTGAATTATGCTTAGCTGTCCCTACTCTTTCAAAAAAAGAAAAAGCTTGGTTACACTTACAATACTGGTTTCAAAGAATGAAGCATCACACTTGCAACACTGGTTAGTGAACCATGTACTTGCCGTCCTGCTTCTGGCAGCATTGAAGCCCTGGGGACCTCCTTTCTAAAATTGGACTAGAAGTTAGTCTATTACTTAAGAAACAATTAATGTTGGATTTTCTTGCTTGCGTTTACAATTCTAGTCTAAAAGATGTTGCATCATGCTTTGATATAAACATTATGAAGCATAAGACCCATCTCATATATTATTGTCTATTAAATTATGCTATGAACAGGTACTTTATGAGCTTGAGAACTTAGTGATTTATCCTGTGTAAATTTTTACCATTTCCCACATCTGATGCATCATCTAGAATGCCAAAATTTGATGGTTTAACTGATCTCCTGTACTAATATTTATCGCATTTTCCTTCATAATGTCTTTTGCTTTTGCTGGTATAATCCCTTATCAGGCTAAGCTGGACAAGAAAGCTGACCCTGAAGACCCCAAGTCCTGGCCCAGGTTTATATTGAGGGTTGATAATTATATGTGCAATTACTTAACTGGCGGGAAAAGGGCAAGACTTGCAATTTTAAGCAGTTCGCTCAAAGTTTGGATTCTTTTGAAGGTTTGTCTGAACAGTTAGTATAATTCTTCGATTATGCTTGGAACTTTTTGTCAGTGGTCAAAATATGATCTGATTTCAGCAAAAGAAAGTTCGGTTTTATGATTCCAACAATTACCCCTGCAGTTAATACAGAGACTCCATTTGTCTCGCATTCAAAAACTTACTTGAGAGGTTTACTAGGGTTGGCATAACATGAACTGCCCAAGTTACTATCTCTCTTCCTTCCCCTTCCATTTCAAGTCGACTAACTTATTGGTAGTTTTTTGGTTTCAGCATATATCTTGTATACCATGGTGTGTTTAGGGTCATTCATCTATTCTCCAAGTTACATTTTAACAGCTGTTGTGATGTTACCAAGTTCCATAAAGACTAATGCTGACAGTGAAACTGTTTATTCTAGGCCTTGGCATGTGTTATAACGCGTTAATATATCTGACAAACCAATTAACTGATTCATATAGAAGAGCAAGAGCATTATTCTTGTGTTGATATAAGACTGAAATTCACAGTTAAAAGAATTGCTTATGCAGCAATGCTCTTTTCATGTGTGGCACTGCTGAAAAATTGAGATATCTATGCAGTTAATGTTGGTTTGGATCTGTTTAGTTTCTTGTCATGCATGTATTATCTGTTTTACCCGTTACTAATTTTCCACAACGGTGATCCCTCAGGTTGCTAGAGGTTTCTCTAGAGGGACTTTTGAGGTGAAACCGTTTGCAGACGAGAAGACCAATAACAAACAAGTTGCAATTTCGATGCTACGACCAGCAGAGTCCCGAGCTAATAATTCTGGGAAAAAGGTGACCCTTATTCCAGTGAAAAAAGGGAAGGCTGGCAGCAAATGACTTGCAAAACATTGATTTGAAGCGACTTCTTCTCTTTTGTGATTTTTTTCATCACCCTATTCGTACAGCGGAAGGGAAACAGTAGAAAAGAAAAGAAATAGTGAAGATAAAAGAAGTTAGATTCAGAATATCTAGTTTCATTTGCCAGCCTGTTTCTGATAATGAGTCTGTAAGTTTCATGGCTAATCCAACTCCATTCTTTTAACTGTTGGGTTACCAATTTACTAATGGTAGCTATGCATTCTCTGCTCAGGTGTATACTATTTTTGAGTTCTTTTACCCCCCATAAAGTTGTCTTCCGAACCAAGAATGACTCGTCCTCTAATTTTCATGCATAAATTACTTATTCATTCAAGCTCAAATTATTAGTATGTGATTTAAACTGGAACTTAATAATTTAAATCATACAGTAGAACAATAAGCAATTTAGGCGGTATAAAAAAATAAATAGGTAACACAGACTGTAACACGCGGGGTTTCTACCAGAACCAGCCTGGGATATATATCCATACTCGCCAATGATTCATCCCTCTGATGTCAATGTTATATCATCGTTTTATAATAAATTGGTAAATTTTGAAGAATATTATATCAAAGTGTAACTAGAATTATGTTAAAAACTCCAATTTTATCACAGGAATCTCTACCATTTTTTATAACTTAAAGCAGTATAAATTTTCAAAAAATGTTACCAAATTCTTTGTTTGACTCGATTATCCATTAGAATAATTTCAATTTTTTTTTTTTTTATTTATGAAATTTTATACCGAAAGTAGTTAAAATAGTAAAACTAATAAAAACTGAAATCATTAAATTTTATATGCGTTAAATTTCATTTACTTTCTAAATTATGTGTTCTACTAGTTGAATTTGAATTTACAAAATAAATATTACGAAATTACTTTGTTCCAAACATGACAGCAATTGTAGAGGCAACAAAAAGAGGCGAGAGCATATGTATAAATAAAGTCGACAAGAAATGGTATGAGCAGATAAATAATAAAATGACGATGAAATACAATCATGAATTCACTAGCTAAAGCCTGGTCCCTGGTAATGAAGCATTCAAAGTTCTTTTCTTTTCTTTCCAGTTTCCAAATTACGCTAGTCAACGCCAAAACTACTAATGGTGGCTTATAATTTCTGAAAAGTAACAAAGAGAAATGGCTAGAAGTACACGTGAACTGTAACCAAATGTAGTAACAGCAAACTTTCCAACCTTCATGCATTGGGAATCATGTAGCTGCATTGTTGCAGGTGTTAAGGCCATCCTTGCAATCATTGGTCAGATCATTGAAGGTCTCAATCTGCTTCTTGCCTCTCAAAAACACTTCTGTATCAACCGA